TTTTCTAAATGGTAACAAAAGTGAATCGTCACCTCCTTTAACTCTGTCATTCTTTGTCTGTAGTCCAAGCTGGCATCGATGTCCAATGACTTCAAATCAGTCCTAGAAGTCAGAACAGAGGTGAGAGCTGCGTCAGCACACAAAAGCAAACAATGCTAATACCTAAAGCTCTGGATAAAATGAAGGTTTCTTCTCTCTTTGACTCTTGTTCTTCAGAACCTGAAGCAGCAGCGCAGCAGGAGAGAGCAGTTCTCCCAGCCTCCGGCGTCGTCTTCTCCTCTCATGGCCAACAACTTCAGTAAGTCTCTCCACATCTCAGCTTCACGCTTCAAGTTGCTCATTCAGATTTTTAACAAGGGTCTCATATGAAAGTAAATGGCTACAGCAGGTTAACAAAGCATGTTTTGTAGTTTAATTAAGGCGTGTTCACTCTATCCTGAATATTGTTTGTGTGAAAAGTTCTGTCTTAATCGTTTTGCGGACCTTTAATGTTGCACATGGTTAAACTGACGTGCAGCACTAGTAATACAGACAAGGGTAAAAGAGGACCGTGAACATGGCTGGCTTCACACTGCCTGCTGTAATGTCACATTTATATCACCTGTATTCTCTGAAAGTGTGAACTTCCCACTAGTAATGAGAATAATCATTACTCAAAGCATACAAAGTGTGTATTAGAGTGAACACACCGTGAGTGTTTCTTTGTTGTGTCGTGGAGGAAAATACTCGACGTCTGGCTCCTGCTCAGTTCATCATTCTGCTAAAGCGAATGATTAAATGTTTTGCCGAGCAGGCTTCTTAACAGACACCCTTTAATGAACGCACCGAGCTCCAGTGCTTCCTGTACGTGCATTTACACAGTTGGTAAAATGTTCATAAATTCACTTTACTTTAGCATTTTTGACCAAATATCAAGCAAAATGCTCATTGTGAATGCCTAGAGATTTTACAAAGAAAAAAGATGGATATTAAGACTGGTTTCATTATTTTAAAAATATAATTGGCTCGATTCTGATCTCTGAAATGATGCACTCAGCATTTATTTATCTTGATGGATGATGGGATAAATATTTACATTTCTCTACTTGTTTGTGTTATTACCTGCTAAAAGGTACATGGGTATAAACCCTACGGTAGAAAATCATATGCATAATAAATCATATATTAACAGAATATATAGTTTTTCTGTGCTTGTGCACACATTCCCTTATTTCTGTTTTAGGCGTACTTGCACTGAGCATGTTGTTTGACGGTTAGGTGTTTTGTTTTTTCCTTCTTTTTCAAAAACGGCACTGGTTGTGGATACGTTTTAAATACCAGTGTACTTTTCAAAACAGCAGCTGTTGTGATAGGGAACTGCTGGCAGTCCTTGTGAATGATTATTACTGTATTTGGTCATCTGTAATGCAAGAATTAAAAAATATTTTAGGGAGCCGCAAAAAAGGGGCCCAGGAGCCGCAAGCAGCTCGTGAGCCGCGCAATGACTACCAGGGCTATACAACCGCAAATTACAAAGGTATTTCCCGGGAACGTCTCGACTCTCCAAGCGGGTATAACTAGCTACTGTATGTGCCCGCTGTTCTTTCTGCTTTCCGCCCGTACCATAGAGGATTTCTGTGATCACGTGTGTGTGTTTTTTATGTCTCTGCAGATGGCTCGGTCCTGATGCAGGAAGAGTCCCGGAGCCGGGGGGATGTGGCTATCGATATGGACTCTCCAAGTAATCCTTTGCAGCTTCAGCTTATTGATGAGCAGGTAG